TGGACCCGTACATGTATTCTGAGGGACCGATTCTTAACAGTATATTGCAAAGGAACCGATTCTTAACAGTGTATTCCAAAGGGACCGATTCATAACAGTGTATTCCAAGGACTAATTTTCAACAGTGTATTCCGAGGGACCGATTCTTTACAGTATATTGCAAAGGAACCAATTCTTAACAGTGTATTCCAAAGGGACCGATTCGTAACAGTGTATTCAAAGGGAGCAATTTTTAACAGTGTATTCCTAGGGACCGATTCTTAACAGTATATTCCGAGGGACCGATTCTTAACAGTATATTCCGAGGGAACGATTCTTAACAGTGTATTCCAGGGTACTGGTTCTTAACAGTGTATTCAAAGGGACCAATTCTTAAAAGTGTTATCCGAGGGGCATATGCTTAACAGTGTATTCTGAGAGAAGATTCTTAACAATGTATTCATAGAGACCGATTTTTAACAGTGTATTCCGAGGGAACGATTCTTAATAGTAAATTCCAAAGGGGAACCGATTCTTAACAGCGTTTTCCGAGGGACCGTTTCTTAACAGTGTATTCCGAGAGAAAATTCTTAACAGTGTATTCTGAGGGACCAATTCTTAACAGTGTCTTCCGAAGGACCGTTTCTTAACAGTGTATTCCGAGAGAAAATTCTTAACAGAGAAGATTCTTAACAGTGTATTCCGAGGGGCCGATTCTTTACAGTGTATTCCGAGGGGCTGATTCTTAACAATGTATTCCGAAAGAAGATTCTTAACAGTGTATTCCGAGGGATTACAAAAACACGGTTTGGAGGAAGAGTGGGTAATTTATTCAGTGAGCAATCCTACGCCACCCTTCAAACCCGAAAAATCATCCAACAAACAGTTTCTTTATCAATCCACTAAATGATAATTTTATGAATCTTTGAACTTAAATTCGGAAAACTTAAGTGTTCCGGGAATATTTCAACTTTCACTTCAAGTTGCATACATGTGTCAAAACTATTTATTTTGGCTCATTCAACCTATCTAATAACTTTTCTAGGATTCCTACTTAACATACCTAAACCCTTTTCTAGGATTCCTACTTAAACTATCTAATATATTTTCTAGGATTCCTACTCAACCTACCTAAACCCTTTTCTAGGATTCCTACTCAACCTATCTAATAACTTTTCTAGGATTCCTACTCAACCTACCTGGACCCTGTTCTAGTATTCCTACTCAACCTACCTAGACCCTTTTCTAGGATTCCTACTCAACCTACCTAGACCCTGCTCTAGGATTCCTACTCAACCCACCTAGACCCTTTTCTAGGATTCCTACTCAACCTACCTAGACCCTGTTCTAGGATTCCAACTTAACCTACCTAAACTCTGTTCTAGGGTTCCTACTCAACTTACCTAGACCCTGTTCGAGGATTCCTACTCAATCTACCTAAACCCTGTTCTAGGATTCCTTCTCAACCTACCTAAACCCTGTTCTAGGATTCCTACTCAACTTACCTAGACCCTGTTCGAGGATTCCTACTCAATCTACCTAAACCCTGTTCTAGGATTCCTACTCAACTTACCTAGACCCTGTTCGAGGATTCCTACTCAATCTACCTAATCCCTTTTCTAGGATCCCTACTCAACCTAGCTAAATTGGTTTCTAAGATTTCTACTCAACCTACTTAAACATTTTCTAGGAATCCTACTTAATCTTCCTAAACGGTTCTAGGATTCCTACTCAATCTACCTAAACCTGTCTCTAGGATTCCTACTCAACCTACTCAAACTGGTTTCTAGGATTACTAATTAACCTAGCTAAATCCTTTTCTAGGATTCCTACTCAACCACCTAAACCCTTTTCTAGAATTCTTACTTAGCCTACCTAAACCAGTTTCTAAGATTCCTAATAAATCTAACTAAACCAGTTTTTAGTATTTCTACTTAATCTACTTAAACCGGTTTCTAGGATTCCTACTCAACCTGGCTAAACCGTTTTCTAGGATTTATACTTAACATAGCTAAACCCTTTTCTAGGATTCCTACAATGAAACCCTTAATAACAAATACATCGGAAGAATTTATCAAATGTCGTCTTGACAATTTTTCAATGAATTTTATACTATATTACGTAAATTTCAGTATTTGCGAAAATAAATAAATAACCATGAATATGAGAAAACAGTTTTAAAGAGTTCCATATAATTATTTAATAAAAAAACTAAATATCTTCAACATTTCTTTATCAGAAAGTGAAGAATACGACATTTGATGAATTCTTTCGATGTATTCTTTATTAAGGGTTTCACTGTACTCAACCCAGCAGACCCTTTTCTATGATTCTTACTCAACCTAGCTAAACCCTTTTCTATGATTCCCGCTTCACAGCTACCTAACTCGGTTTCTAGGATTCCTTCTTAACCAAACTAATCTGGTTTCTAGGATTCTTATTCAACCTAACTAAACTGAGCTGAAAACTTTAGAATGTGATATCCTTAATCCCGATCTGTTGCCTTTTCTGGAGTTTAAATTCATGTGGAGAACAAGCAATATTTGAACTGGATATTAAGAAAAGGAACGTATTAAGCATTAATCCTGATATCCACCATTCTAAAGTTTTCAGCTCTGGTTTCTAGGATTCTTATTCAACCTAACTAAACTGGTTTCTAGGATTTCTTCTCAATCTACCTAAACCCGGTTTCTAGGATTCCTACTTAACCGACCTAAACCGGTTTCTAGGATTCCCACTTAACTGACCGAAACTGGTTTCTATAAGGATTCCTACATAACCTTTTTTAATCTGGTTTCTAGGATTACTAATTAACTTACCTAAGCTGGTTTCTACTTACCTAAACCGATTGCGAGGATTTCTAGGATTTCTATGCTTCTATCCAACCAAAAAACACAAACATTTAAATCTTAATCATGATGAAAAATGTGTATATGATGTAATATAAATGACTGAGCTAGGTTGAATTTATGTCTTCTTTACTTCCATCATCTAGAAGCTAGTCTAATCATGTACTTAGGCCTAATAATTATTTGTTGCACGTAAACATGAAACTAATTATCTTCATTGTACTTTTTGTCAGGTAACATGTTTTTTTTTCAAAAAAGAAATTTAGTAAGAGAATTGAGTTTTTGCAACAAACTCTGATTTTCTAATTTCAATATCGTTGCAGCCCAATGTCGTAGACCTTTAATATTTCAAACTATGAATTATATTAGATCAAATAATGTAAGTTTAAAATATCAAAGGTTTACATCATAAGGCTTCAAAGATTAAAAACTGAATTTATGACAAAGACTCAATTCCTTTATTTAACAAAATACATTTTGTTTGGATTTGAAATACAAGAAACATAATTTTCATCTTATTTCTTCTAAACACGCACATAGAATTTATTGCATTCTTATTTTCTGTCAAAAAAAATACTGAGAACTATTAAAAATTGTTTATAAATTGTCATAAATTATCACGACTATCAGCACTATCAAAACTATTAATGCAGAACTATGAGGACTGTAAACGTTATGATTAAGAGCTATAAAAAGTATCATAATTAGCATAATATATATTATGACTGACTATAAAACTAGGAGAAATATCAGGAATATTAGAATTATCCGAACCCCAGGTGTGGCGTTATTTCTGGGTAAACGTTAAATAATGGTAGTAGACTCTACGCAGCAAATTTTCCGCGGCATTCGCGCACAATTCGGTGAATGTAAACAGTAAATTAAGTAAAAGTATTTCTCATATTTGAGAATCAATCAAGTTTTGCTGAGCGACAGACAGTAAAAGTCAATTGTTTTAATATTAGGAATCGATATTACAGCTTAGTTTACGTAAGTTAATTGTTAAGATTCTGATACTTGCAACTAATGAGAGTTTAATGTACTCACATATAGTGTATATTTTAAGTGTATAAATATAATTTCTAATTTTGAAATTTCAGATAAAATACCAAATTTCTCTTGTGCGCAATGCCGTAAACTGCAAAAATATGCGCAGATGCCACGGAAAAAAAATTGCTGCGTAGAATCTACTACCATTATTTAACGTTTACCCAGAAATAACGCCACACCTGAGCTGATATATTATCATAATATCAACAGAATTGCCAGAATTGAGAAGAAAAGGCTGCCACTTGTGATTTTTTAGTTTTAAGATGTTTAAGTTAAGGTTTGTCTAAAAAAATTAGCCCGCCCCCCTCCTCCCAGTTCGTAAGATAAGGTTCCAGAATATGAATACATCCAGCCTGGTCCCGGAGCATATTCTATATTCTACCAATCCGTTATATTCTGACATTGGCATCACCAACAGATAAAAGCTTACTACTCTATCCTCTAAACCCATTTTCATTTAGGAGCTAATATCAGTTTCCCATTTAACATGTAAAATAGGGGGTTAGGGTCTCTGACTTTTGGTTTTCATTAAAGAGTTAAGCTAGCCTCGGACTCTCAAAGTTAACGGACAAAACTAAAATCTATATATATGTATTTAAATTTGTATGGATATATTTACATTAGATGATTATTTTTTATATTTACATATCATATATGTATATACAGAATATACAGGATTGATAAACTGACTAAACTATGCTAAATACTCACAGAATACACAGATAAGACAAGATCAGGAATGGATTAACTTTTTATCTTTTCATCATGATAACATTAGAGTTGAAAGGTATAAACCATAGATAAAGATAGATTGCGCATTAGACGACAGTTTTCATCTTTAAAGATATAAATTTACAGAGATGTTTTAAAGATATTCCTATTATATAGATTAACTAGGTCGGTTGTGAACATTGGCTGTTCTTATGTCATTGAGTACTTGTGGTGTACATGAGTTCTGTAGAGAGAAATTTAAGTTAGTATAGTCCTTCTCAAGTCCTTCTTCAGTGAAATATTGTTGTTCAAAAAGTTCCATTTCCGGAGTTATTTTACACTTACTCTATGAAATCCATTAAAACACCAAACCACCCCGCTTATCATTGAATTACACGTTGACCCCTAGAAGTATGAGTTCGCGGACTGTACAATTCTTGGTGATTTTTCGTACATAAGCTATCTATGTTTATTTATTTATCTATGGTATACACAGATTCAAGAACTACAAGGAACTCTCTCTAAACACTCTTCGTGTTAAAATCTTTCAACCTGATGTCATTATAGACCTTTATATTACAAATATTATTACAAGATGACAATTAAAAAGGACTGGTTTTTGCAGGAGAGGGGGGAATGTAAATAAACAATAAGAATGTTGAAATGGCATTGATCAACAAATTTATTTTGACAATTCCCCCAATAGATGCACAAATATTTTTTTCATAAATCCTCGTGAATAAAAAACACACAAAAAAACGTTGCGTAGCTATAATTGCTATAAAACCATGTTATTAATGAACAAATTTAAATAAACCGAACCTGTTCCTCTGATCTCGTATCTCTTTGGTTTAACGGTTCTTTAAGAGAGAGAAGAGAAAAAATCGACTCATTTAATTGAACCAATTTAAATTAGCCCCGTTCAATCAAAAGTTATCATCTTTGTTCTACATGCATCCAGTTTGAATTTCTGGGTCAAATATCCCAAACTAAACATATTAATAAATAAACCTAAATCTTAAATCTTTCAGTGCATTTGATAGTATCCTAATAATGTCATAATGCAAAGGATAAAAATGTCTTTTTTATAACTATATTAAAACGCCTATAACCGTAAGATGGAGTTTAGGGTTTAAAAATTTTTTCGGTAAACAAGTTGTAGGATTGAAATAACATAATCTGAGGAAGACGGGATAATGGAAGAATTGTAATTAACTGATTAAATCTTAATCTATCGCCCTGAATGATAATGTGTATATGCTGGATAAGGGTGGATCCAAGCGGGGACATATGGAACTAAAAACGGGCGGGATGGGATATGTGGAGAATGTGGACGGTGGGTTGGAGAAGAGTGAATAGGTTGGGTGGGACGTAAAGTAGGGGATGGGCATTTAGGCGGAGGAGGGGGAGGAGGACATATTGGTTTGGGTTTAGGAGCTAAGGAGAGGAGAATAGGATCCCAAACTAGTTTTCTCCAGATTAGCATTCTTTCAGGGTAGGAATTCGTTTCCATTGTTGGTTCATTCGTCAGTAGAAGACAAGACTTAGATTTCTGAAAAGAAAAAATGAAAACATCTAAGACGACATTTAAAATTGTTTCTTCATATTTACCTGAGTATACTCAGCCCAGCTTATATTCATTTCTGAGTCAGGGTTTCTAGATCTAGCAAAGTTCGTCCAGGCAGACACCATTAGGTCCGATATACGTTTCTGTTAAAAGAAAACTACAAGCGTCAAAGTGTATAAATTAGATTTTTTTCTCCGGATCGAAGAATGAACTGCAAGATCGAGTGGAACTGGATTTACTTGGCTTAATTTCTTCTGAGTAATCGTTGAGCTAAAAAAGTTCAAGCGGATTTCATTTCTTTGGTTAAAAGAATTGAACTAATTAAGATCAAATGGATTGAGTAGGTTTCATTTCTTCGGATAAAAGAATTGAACTGCGTGAGTTCAAGTGGATTAAGTAGGTTTCAGTTCTTCGGATAAAAGAATTGAACTGCGTAAGTTCAAGTGGATTAAGTACGTATAATTTCTTCGGAATAAGAGTAGAACTGAACTATGTAGGTTAAATTTCTCCCAGCTAAAGTTGTACTGAACAAGTTTAATTGGATTAAGTAGGATTTATCTCTTCAGAAAACAATTTTAATACAGCGGTATGCGATTATATTAATATAAGTAAGACGACTTTCGATCTCAATTTTGATTTAAATCGAGCTTTTAAACAGCGTGGATACACAAAAAGGCTGGTTAACAATTAAAACTTAAATAAAAAGTCGTCTTCATTTTATTGATGTAATCGCTTACCACCGTAGAAAAATATAAAAAGTACCTGTTCTATTCTTTCCTCCCGAGAGAACAGATAAACCAAATCGTCCCCATGTCCAAAACTAGGGGTTTCCTCATCCTAGATTAGGTTTTTTAACCATTATTATTTGGATTTTATAAATTTCTCTAATATCCTAGGTTTTGTAAAATTTTAAATAGTTTTTCACTTTCATCGTGAAGTTATCATTTGTGTTTTCTTTTATGGGTTATCATTATCATACGAATACAAAAATATATAACAGCTCAATTAAAATTGGAGATGAAAATACAATAATTTAATGTTAAAAATCCAACCTTGATTGTCTCCTTGAGAATATAGCAGAAGGTTTTGGTTCCAGATCTGCTCATTAGCTCTGCGTTCAGAAGAACAGGAACAGAGAAGTAGGCGTCACTAGATGAGAAAACAAAATATTAAAGGGAATCAGCCTCTGTGCATTTTACCACACTGTATATTCAATCCTTTGTATCCAATAAACATCAAAACGGCTTAACCGGTCGTGCCCGATCGTTTTTGAAAATTTAAAAGTGTCACTTCAGAAACATTTGAATTTTCAAAAATGTACGAGAAAGAAAGGCCGCTAGATAAATCTGCAAAAGCTAAGATTATTACTATAAAATCTTGTAATTCAAAAATCTAAGTTTTCTTTAAAGCACGAAATTCAAGATGATGTTGTCGGATACCTGAACATATCCTGAAGATCCATCCTATCCGCAGCGCTAAGGTTAGATCTTCCAACATAGAACCTGGTGAGAGTGTTAGCAACCAATACGTCCTCGTCACTGATTAATCCTGAGTAGATTATAATTATAGGTTAAACTAAATATGCAGGGACGGCTTACGATATTTTCCAGGGGGGGGAGGATTATTAATAGATTTTTTTAATACCTCCCCCCTTGAATTTAAAAAAAAAAGTATTTTGGTCAGCCTGTTCTAAATTTATTCAGTGATACTCAACTCCACTCCATTCCATAATATAGTGTTTTTTATTATTTATTATTGCAGATATTTCATCAAAATTTTGAACTTTACGAATTTTCTTCCATCTGACATTAATTTATTTACTAAAAACACCGCAATAGGGTTTGAACGACAAATCACCTATTTATGCCATGAGGTTATGATTAATGATTATATTTTATATACCGACTAAAATTTACTTCTATACAAGCATCCTTTTCCATTTTCATAAGATAAACTCTAGCAGACATAATCATATAATGATTTCTAAAGTCAGGTTTTACAAGAATAATTCTTAACAAAGACAATCTTGATTTCGTTACTCAATTCCAACGTCCAAAAGAGTAAATTCTATTTCACCTGGAGAAGTTTGCAAAAGGTAGGATGGACCGAGAAGTTTCCACATTTTCTCAATCTCCCTGATACTATCCTGGATCGGAGTAAGGTATAGAGATCCTTCTCCCTCCACTAGTCCGGTTAGAACTGGAACGTTTAAATATTCTCCTAAACCATAAATAAGGATTAATTAAGGTTTAAATTATAATTCACTAGATTATAATTTCCTACTTTAAGATAAAAATACCTGAAAGAATAATCTCGACTGGTGGTTTAGGAATTAGAGGGTCACGAGAGAAATTTCCGTCTTGAACTGGTAACCAGAACCAGCTGGAGTTAGAGTATATTCCGCTCTCGTTAAACGTTTCATCTCTTGCCACACTTTTCCTTGTGAGAAGGTTTGCAGAGATATTTCGAAGACAATTGAGTGTGTTTAATCCGAAGCAACCAAAAGAATCGGCAAGCCTTCGACTGCTTTTTATAACATCTTCAGTTACTTGCTCGAACTTAGTTTTATACAGAAGAGATCCTGACTGGAGAATAGCTCCGGAGATAAACCTCCGGGAGGACGGAGAGAGAAGATGAACCTGAGTACTCATAGCTCCTGAACCGTGTCCAAACACAGTTACTCGACCAGGATCTCCTCCGAAGTTTAATATATTTTGTTGAACCCACTCCAGGGCTAGCTTCTGATCTCGTAATCCTAGATTTCCTCCAGACATATCGTTTCCCAAACATAAGAAACCTAGTGCTCCAAGTCTGTAATTAATAGAAACTACAATCACGTTCTTTTCAACTAACCTATGGAAGCTCTGATATTCTGCGTCCCCGGAGCCAAACAAGAAAAATCCTCCATGAATCCAAACCATAACAGGAAGTAGTTGTGTTGAATTCCTTGTTTCCGGAACCCAGATATTCAGATACAAACAGTCCTCCTCTCCCTCAACATTAAACGAGGATGCCTGAACACATTTAACCCTCTCCCTTCCTTCCAATACACCAGTCCACGAACTTTTCCTTCTTGCTACCTGGAACCTAAGATCTCCAACAGGGGGCTCAGCATAGGGTATCCCAGGATACCATGTTATCTCTAACCCGGTTAAAGTCTTCAATACTTTTCCTCTCACTGTCCCTGTGTTTACTTTAGCTGTGGATGTTCTTAATACTTCGTTGGAGAAGGTTCTAGCAAACCCTTCATCTGTATATTCTTCTTCTAGCTCGCTGATTCCACGAAAAAGTTTATCCGGCTCCAGGTCGGTGTCTTCATCAATTATTACCTCATCCTGAAAACCATTGATTGTACTTTCAATTAAGCTGGGAATTGTTTTTGGTTCTAAATCTTGAAAAAGAATTTCTTTTCGTTCGCCAGTAAAATAATCTTGATCTTCAAAATAACTTTCTTCGTCCGGAATATCTTGTTTTTGATCTTCAATTGAACTTTCCTTATCCGAAGTATCTATCTCTTGATCTTCAATAGAACTTTCCTCATCTGCAGTATTTACTTTTTGATCTTTAGTATTATAATCTTCATCCGGAATATCTTGTTCTTGATCTTCAATAGAACTTTTCTCATTCAAAGTATCTATCTTTTGTTCTATAATAGAATTTTCATCGTCTGGTGTATCTAGTCCTTGATCTTCCGCACCATCTTCCTCTTCTGGAATAACTAGTTCTTGATCTTCAGTAGTACTTTCCTCATCTGGAGTATCTTCTTCTTGATCTTTAGTAGTAGTTTCCTCTTCTGGAGTATCAAGTTCTTTATCTTTAGTAGTGCTTTCCTCATTTGGAGTATCTAGTCCTTGACTTTCAGTAGTATACTCCTCGTTCGGAGTATCATGTCCTTGATCTTCAAAAGACCTTTCCTCATCTAGAGTAACTAGTTCTTGATCTTCCGTAGTATACTCCTCATTTGGAATATCTAGTCCTTTATCTTCAAAAGACCATTCCTTATCTGGAACAACTAGTTCTTGATCTTCAGTAGTATACTCCTCATTCGGAGTAAATCGCCCTTGATCTTCAATAGATCTTTCCTCATCTGGAATAACTAGTTTTTGATCTTCAGTAGTGATTTCCTCATCTGGAGTATCTAAATCTTGATCTTCAGTTGTATTTTCCTCAACTTGAGTATCTAGTTCTTGATCTTCAATAGAGTGTGGAGTACCTTCTTCTTGATCTTTAGTAGCCCTTTCCTCATCTGGAGTATCTTCTTCTTGATCTTCAATAAAACTCTCCTCATCCTGAGTTTCTAGTTCTTGATCTTTAGAAGTAGTTTCCTTATCTGGAGTATCTAGTTCTTGATCTTCAGTAGAGCTTTCTTCATCTGGAGTATCTAGTTCTTGATCTTCAGTTAAGCTTTCTTTATCAAGATCATCAATTGTTACTATTGTTGTAGGTTTCTCGTTAACATCTTCATAAAAATCTGTGATGGTTTCCTCATAATCTGGTCTTCTGAATTCTCCCCCATACAAATCATTTTCATACTCATCATTTTCATAATCTTCATTTTGGTAGTCATACTCCTCTTTCTTTAGTTCTCCCTGGGATGATAGTTCTGATTTAACGGATAGAACTTGATCATTATCCTGTACTAAACTAGAACTATTGATCAAGCTTGGTTGGTTTTCATCATCATATTCAGTGTAATCAGCATCTTCCTCTGAATCAAAACTGATCTTAGTGACATCTAGAACAGGATCGATATCTAGAGAATCGGATTCAGATTCCGTATCTGTATCAGGTATAAGGGAAACATCGAGAACAGGATAATAGTTGTAGTTTGTAGGTTTGATTTCGTCTTTGTTTGTTATATTGATCTGAATATCAATCCCATCTTCAGAACCATCTCCAACTCCCAGATTAAACTTAAACTTTTCGTCCTGAATCTCATTCTCAGCTGATCTAATTTCACTAGAAAACGTTTAATTATTTAATTTTATTTTCCTTTATTATAATGTCTTGTATTTTTAGTTTATACGATACTTTACCGCATTATAAATCTTACTCTAGAGCAACACTAATTCAGTCTAGTAACTCTTAATATATCTCAGCGTGCAGTGTGCACCTTGCTCCAATCCAGTCTTTCTCTAGTGTAACTGTATACTTTATTGATCTAGCCTAGACTCTATTGAAATAAAATTTTACTCCAGTGTTAAACTTACCCCATTATATTCTGTACTCCCATGTCCACTTTACTTCAGTAAAAACCATACCCTGGCCCAGGTCAAACCTTCATGTCTAAAAATTACTTTCGTTTAACCTTCACTTCATTAGTATCTTTAATCCAATTTAAACCTTACTTTAGAATAACTTTACTCTAGTTTAAACCTTACTTTAGAATATTTGTAATCCATTTAAACATTACTTTATAATAGAATAACATTATTCTAGTTTAAACCTTACTTTAGAATAACTTTACTCTAGTTTAAACCTTACTTTAGAATAACTTTACTCTAGTTTAAACCTTACTTTAGAATAACTTTACTACAGTTTAAACCTTACTTTAGAATAACTTTATACTCTAGTTTAAACCTTACTTTTGAATAACTTTACTTCAGTTTAAACCTTTATCCAGTGTTTGAGTCCTATCTTGAGTAAATTATAAAGTTGTATTGTCCTATTGATTTTATTTCATGCCAGTGAAACTATTGAAAAGAATAATTAAGTTTCCTGAGTACTGTTTCCACAGTTCCACCTACTGCAGCCTTCACCTAGATACATCAAACCTTAGAGTCAATAGGATCAATAGGATTAATAGGATTAATAGGATTAATAGGATTTAGAGGATTGAAAGTATTAAAGGATTAAAAGGATTAAAAGGATTAATAGGATTAATAGGATTAAGAGGATTAAAAGGATTAATAGGATTAATAGGATTAATAGGATTAATAGGATTAATAGGATTAATAGGATTCATAGGGTTAATAGGATTAATAGGATTAGTATGAATTAAACAGGATGGAAAGGAGGACACTATAAGTACGATGAACAGGGATCGGCTAAGGTAATGAAAATGAGGATGAATCAAAATGAACTTGGATTACTATTATGGGTCAGAATGGATATGGGTGAACTAGGATAAACTAGGATAACCTATAATGAAATAAGACGGATTTGAATGAACTTCAGATTAAATGCACTAAAGGATGAACTAGGAAAACATATTATGAACTCTAGGTTGTACTAGAACGAACTAGATTGACATAGAATAAACTGAAAAAATGAACTAAGATGACTAGGATAAACCAGGATGAATTAGGATGAGCCAGGATGAACTAGGATGAGCTAGGATGAACCAGGATGAACCAGGATGAACAATAAAGAACTATGATGAACCAGGATGAACCAGGATGAACAATGATGAACTATGATGAACCAGGATGAACCAGGATGAACTAGGTTTAACTAGGATGAGCCAGGATGAACTAGGATGAGCTAGGATGAGCTAATATGAACTAGCATGAACTAAAATAAGCTAGAATGAACTAGGATGAACCAGGATTAACTAGTATGAACTAGAAATAATTTTGATGTACTAGACAGTAAATTAGAGCCAAGATGTTAATTGATTAGGATAAACAACTGAATCAATGAGAATGATCTATAATGTATAGCATCAACTTTGAATAAGGAGACTTCTTAAATAAACCTTAATCAAAAATAATTCAAAATCTAAAACTCTAACCTTGGAAACAACTTGATTAAATAATTTCTGAAGAATATCTTGCTCTTCACTTATTCCCGGGGTTTTTGATCGATTCTGAAGATCAATTTTCTTTTCGTCCCGATCGTCCGAGGTACTCAAGTTGAATCTAGAGTTAGGATCGGAGCTGATAGAACTGTACCTTGAAAAAATCGTTTAATCGTCAGGATACAAAAAAGAGAAAAGAGTCTAATGGAACTGAAATTTATAATCTTTTTAGGAAAAATATATCATTATATGAAATTACTAGATATATATTTATATATTTGCCCAAAGATATAGATGAATTTTGATTTGATTTGAATAGTTTGGGTGAAAGGAAATTACTAGAAGGATGTTCTTAAAATCACTATTTGAGAAGGGAGCTAGGATGATCTAATAGAATAGATAAATATATGATATATATAGATAAAAACATGCAGTTGGTATTGTACAGAACACGGTATAGTTTAATACAGAGATAAGAGAGTTACAGAGATCGAGTATTAGCTAAAATATGCGATATTTTCCACAGCATGTTCTATTGAGTACAAGTACTGTACACGACCAATCAGCAAACATCTGTATTCAGGGATATTTAAGGATCCTTTGGATACGATTCACAAAATCTTTAAAAAAGACAGAATTCATAAATGTTATGTTTCATGTTTCTTTAAAAGTTCTAAAACTTAACCCTTGAATGGGTATTATGTTCAACAATTGTGGCCGTGAGATGGCACTCTAAAAACCTATCGTAAAAACGTATCATGTCGTGCCGGGTCAACTTAGGTCTACGTAGCCCAGCCTGTGAAAGGAGATAAGCAGTCTGTGTAGTCTGTGGTTTATTACGAGTATGTTTACTAAATGTAGGAAAGGTAGGATTTATGAACACATTTTATTGTGGTGTATTTTTACTAAGTGAACTATAGTTTTAACAAAACAATAATAAATATTGTAAACAAACAAAAGTCCGTACGATGGCCGGGTTTGTTTATCTATAGCTTAATAACCAGTTTCAAAGAGTGCAGTAAAACGTAAACAAACCCTATCCAGGCTACCTTTAGTATACACAAGGAGAATTGAATTCAATTCTCCTTGAGTGTACATATCTTTATTTTACCGTAAGCTGCGTACTGCTACACAATGTACCTGTATATGTACATTTTGAGTCTGTTAAACAAACCTATTGATAAGACTGGAATGCTGTTCTCCGGAGTAAGATTCATCCTGAGTTTTGGGTTTGCTCAGGTTCTCCGTATCCTCCTCTAACTCACTTTCAACAGATGCACTTGTAGTTTTTTTTAAAGATTTACTTTTTTAAAGTAATCTTGGGAACTAAGCAAAATCAAGATTTTCAAATCTGAATGATTTTTGGATGAATTATATTAAAAGTAATTATATTAATTTTGGTTTTATTAATAACACGAGCTCAGAAGATATCAATATAATGTGGTTTAAAGAAACATGAGTTTTCATAGAAAATATTTTAGTCCTATGTTGCCGTCATGATATATATAAATATACGAATTTTTTTTATTATTTTAATGATATAGGTTGAAAATCAATTAAATAAGTGAAATGGATTCAGTATTTCACGCCCATTGGACTATTTAAAATTTTAATGGTTGTCTTCCTGTTCTATAGTTTTTTGGACCCAACTGTATGAAATTTGTTTTTATTTGTAAATGTGAACTGGTTGAGAGAAAATGGATGATTTTATTTAATTTTGCTAGTCACTGGCGCCAAGGGAAATTTACTGGGAACTTTATATCATATAAAATTCAATCCTTCCCAAAATCGAAAAGTTGTAAAACACCTTTATCCCAAATAGATCAACACCTTTATCCCAAATAGATCAACACCTTTATCCCAAAAAGATCAAAACCTTTATCCCAAATAGATCAACACCTGTATCCCAAAAAGATCAACACCTTTATCCCAAATAGATCAACACCTTTATCCCAAATAGATCAACACCTTTATCCAAAATAGATCAAAACCTTTATCCCAAATAGATCAACACCTGTATCCCAAATAGATCAACACCTTTATCCCAAATAGATCAACACCTTTATCCCAAATAGATCAACACCTTTATCCCAAATAGATCAACACCTCTATCCCAAATAGATCAACACCTGTATCCCAAATAGATCAACACCTTTATCCCAAATGGATCAACACCTTTATCCCAAATAGATAAGGGCTCGGGAGGGAAAGGGTTAACTTCGCAATAAAGTCTGAGTAAAACTATTAACGAAATCATAATTACAATCAATTTTACTTGAAATATTTGAGATTTAATCTTTTTCTGATATAGAAAAGAGAAATGTTGTCAAAACAAATTTTATGGGTTTGTTTAGACTTGTCGTGTAGTGCACTGAACCTGGATACACTGGTTACCACATCTTCTAGGAAACAGGAGAAGTTTTAAGAACGAAATCAAACCAGTAATGTTGTTTTTAAAACTCTTCAAGAGAGATATTACAGGATCTAGAAGCCCTTTAAAATATATGTACTTGAGTTTTAAAAAAAGTATTAATGCTAATATTTTTGTGAATTTATGTAAAAATATTAGACTTTAAAAATATATATTTTTTCGATTAGCGGTCCTATAACTTTGAAATAATTAGTCATTTTGTTAAATGGATTTCATTTCACAAGTGTTCAAACAATAAGAGTTTTTAACATAGCAATGCAAAATCTTACTTCTTTGTTTAATTATAATATCATATATAAATATTTGTTACTGTTCAGTGTAAAATATTGAGGGGAATGGTTTTGGGGTTCGTATCAAACATTTAAGGTTTCGGGATATTCAACTCATAGAAAAACTGTTTTTGCTTTTACTTTATTATTCACAACAATTTCTCTGGACAAAGATATTGACCAAAACTTTGCAGTGTAAAAAAGAAAACTATAAAATAATACAATTTCCATACATTCTAAATATCTCAGATTCCCATATGGAGCCTCTGAAAAGTTTAGAAAACCCCAAATGTTCTAAAACGGACCCAAAACAATGCATATCCCTAGATTGTACACATTGTTCAATGCACATCCCTAGACTGTACACTTTTTTCAATGCACATCCCTAGACTGTACACATTGTTCAATGCACATCTCTAGACTGTACACATTGTTAAATGCACATCCCTAGACTGTACACATTGTTCAATGTGGTTCAATATTTTCAGTTGAATTAGATTTCACTTTTCATTTCCGAAACAAGTTCAAGGTGTCACTGAAAAAAAGTAAGCTTTTGCTTTTTCGCCTGCACAAAACGTCGTTTTATGTACTCAAAAGTGTTCCTAGTGGATNTCACCTTCAAAGGTAGACCTAATATGCAAATATATACTCGGTCGATCTTTTCAAAGATTTTCAAACAAAAATTTTAATATAATTAAATTTTTCTTCTCCTTATATTTATATCAATATTGTAATTGTTGTTAACTGTTATCTCAATATAAAGTAGTCATACGTAGTCGAATATAAAGCCTACTTTTGAAGATTAACGGCAGTTTAAAGAAAAATGCTTCGTTGACGCCTTTTTTTCAGAGACACACTGTATGATTTTATCTCGGAGGGTGTTCCAATAAACATGGGAATTCATTTTCTGATATTTAATGCATGGCAAAGAAAGTATAAAAATGATGCCGTACGTCTTACAAGCTTTACACAAAGTGATCTACCTTTCTCATGTTATAAGAAATTGACAAAGATAATTAGAAGATAACAAAATTTTTATTTATTAAATAAATTAGATTTTGTAAACATTTTGCAATATCTCCGTCAATTTTGAAGATACAAGAAAGATAGACCTCATTTTGAAAATCTCAAGACCAGGCGTTTTCGATATTACATGGGTAAACTGGAATACTGCAATTGTTATGGATCGAAGACGATAAAATTAATTACTTAATTCCCATGTTAATTTGGACACCCTGTATTTTTTTTCAATCCTAAAAAGGCCAGTGGTTAGGAGGGGGGCCATAAAAAAAATAATAATTTAATAATGCACTGGACGAGCGGAAGGTTAGCCGATGATTCAACATTTTTTGTTAAATTTTTATAATACATTTTCTGACTCTCGGCTTTTCATAATTTGTAAAGAGGGGATCTAATGTTATACGGTGGTAGGCTAATATATCAATATAATATAGACGACTTTTTTATTTAAGTTCTAATTGTTAACGAGCTTTTTTGTGAATTACAAAATTACAGTAACTAAAAAGAAGCTTTTTTAAATTGCCAGCTTCTCTTAGTATCCATGTTTTTCTGTATCCATTCTGTTTTAAAGCTTGATATAAATCAAAAGTCGTCTTCATTGTATTGATAATAGCCTACCACCGTATTTAAAACCCTGACGTACTAGTCTGTTTAGAATTAAAATCTTGACAGGAAGATGTTTATTATGTTTAAACAAGTGAACTGTAAAAGCAAATATGTTTTTTTTCTATGCAATTCTCTCAGTAATTAGGTTTAATTGTTATATATGAAAAACTATTCAAACTTAGCATGTCAGAAATTGCGTGACTATTAGATAATCATTCAAAGTTAATTGAAACCTTGTATCATAAACTGTTCTTGACTTTAACTTCGTTCTAAAAACTTGACCCGCTCGAAATTTTTCCGATTTTCCGAAAAGGAAATTTAACCGATCTTCTTCTGCTTTTATTGACGAGGCACTATCGTCCTGTGGTAATATACTTTTCGTCCTAACCAGGACGAGTAGCACTGAGAGAAATAAAACTGAGCGCATTATCACTTTTGTGTCCGGAGCTGGTTTATTCTCCGTCTCCGACCATGATTAAGGTTTGAATGTGAGACACCTGGAACCAGCAGCGTGAACTGTCTCTCCTACTATATTTCACTAACTTTATCCAGCCGTAGGGACAGGTTTCATTGTTTCTCTCTCTTTCTCTGTCTCTGTGTCTGGTGTCTGAACCAGACACACAGATACGGAGCTAGACGAACAGACGGAGAAGATATCATCGAAATGGAAAATTATGCGTGAAGAAAGGAACAATGAAATCAATGAAGTGATAACGGTTTTTATAATTAACATTGTTGCCATTATTCAGATATTCGGATAAAAGGATAAGTACATGACAATAAAATCTATTTATTTGTAGAAAAATAAGAAAAATGGTTTATTGCCGGGAAACAAGGTGATATTAAAAGTTTGTCATTAATGTATTACGCAAATTTTTATTTATTTTGTTTTTGTAATTCAATAAACGTACATCCTAACGAATGAACCGATAGTCAGTAAATCACACGACCTCAGACCAGATTTTTGGCCGGTCAAACTTGAAGATTGATAGATTGATATAAGGTTACTATATATATAGTAAAGACAGGGGGCGGAAACGTTATGTGTGTGTGTCTGTACCAAAAGAGTGTGTGTAAGGAATACCGAACCGAAGGTGTGTACTGTTGGTATATATAGTACATACGAATCTCGGTATTTGTACAGTCTAGGAGAGTACATTTGTTTATTGTTAATTGTTTACTCAAAAATAACTTTAATATACATGTAGTATATTATCTATATATTTAAGTCAACACTATTAAGCCAAATTTTCATGCAAAGAATATAATTTGATTAAACTTTACAAAAAACTAGTCGTTATTCAAGATTAATTATAATTAACAACAATGTTCTGCAATTTCCTTGACTGTAGTCATGTTGTGTGTCTGTACCAAAAGAGTGTGTGCAAGGTTTACCGAACTCGTCTGCAAAGCAGTGCGACTGGTTTTCTCATGCCAGACCAGCGCCATTTCCTTTCCCTTCATTCCAGTTCCCTGTATAGAAGGGTAGCGTTTTGGTGTAGCATAGAGGGTAGGGTATGAGTATAGAGAAGGGTAGGGTAGGGGTATAAGATAGAAGGTTAAGGTAGGGAATAGGATAGAAGGGTAAGGTATAGGTATATGTTAGAAGGGCTGGGAAATAGGATAGAAGGGTAGGGTAGGAGGATTTCATAGAATTGGTAGGGTAGGGGTATAGAATAGAAGGGAAGGGTGGGTAGGGGTTTAGGATAGAAGTGTAGGGTAGGAGTATAGTACAGAAGGGTAGAGTAGGAGTAGTATATGCCGGATAAAAGGGTAGAGTATAGAAGGGTAGGAAGGATAGGGTAGGGTTATAGAATAGAAGGGAAGGGTGGGTAGGGGTTTAGGATAGAAGTGTAGGGTAGGAGTATAGTACAGAAGTGTAGAGTAAGAGTAGTATAGGCTGGATATAGAAGGCCGGGTAGAGTATAGAAGGGTATACAGATAAGGTATGCTTATGGTTTATAGTATAGAAGGATAGGATGTTTATAAATAGGATAAATGAATGGTGTGAATAGATGGATAGACAGCTATTGTAAAAATAGTAAACAAGATAAACATAGAAAGATGACAAAGAATGCAGTAGAGTATTACGGAATTGATGAGCCCCAAAAACGGTAAAATCTGATGAAATCTATTATAAATATCTTTTATTTAATACTATATATATATATATATATGTATATATATATATATATATATATATCTTCTGGAGAAATACCTTAAAATCAAAACCATGACTTCGTTTATTAACACGGAATAAGAAAGGGGGGGGGGAGAGAGAGAGAGAAGCGAGCAGAGTGGAGAAAGGTTAGAGTGAGCAGAGGTAATCTTCTTTAATCTAGTTATGGTGTATAGTTTAAAATAGCTGTAAAATTGAAAAGTTATTTTTATTTCGTTCCTTGTTTAGGAGGAGGGGTGGGGTAATCATTGTAAAAAATCACATGTTTTACGTTTTTCAACATTTAATAGTTGTGAGTGTACACTATATACAGTTGACACTCAGCTGAGAGAAGGAAAGCAGGGTTATTCTTGTTTCATGCCTAGCCTAGGGGTCAGACTAAACAGAAGATATTATAGCTTTATTCAGCTGTAGGACGGATACCGGACACCGGTGATAATATCGGATAAGAAAATGGAAAGATGTTTTCTGTGTGATGAGACCAGGACGGCAAAGTGTCGTGAATGTAAAAGTGTTCATTTTTGTCATCTCCATCGATCCTCACATAAGGAACTAACCCTGATTTCTCCCCTTGCACATTGAACACTAAACCAGGGTTCATTAAGTTCGGGTCAAAATCTTTATACAAAGAAACAAATATAAACACCTATGATTCAATTTAAACGTAAAAACGGCTGAACCGACCGGGTCCAACAATTTTGAAGCAACTCGCATGACCCCAGGGTAGGTTTATGGATGCTCAGAATTTGATTTTGAAAATCCACGAAAAAATAAAATGAAATCCGCGAAATTTTTTTGTTTTGTTTTTTATTTTACGAAGAGAAATTGGTCACTGTCCACTGATAGGATGCTATATTGATATGACTAATAGACGATTGGACTAACGTACAATTGAACTAAAGTCATCCGTTCACAAACCGGTTTTTAGTCCATTTGAACATTAGTTCATATGAACAAAATAAAAATTGATTATTTTCAAATGAGCTAATTTTTTAAAAATTAATAAATATATACATTAACACATGGGGATCATCACTTTAGAGATCTGTTGCCGCAGTGCCGGCCCGATAGCCTGTCCTAGCCGAGGCGTTTGGCAACCTAGGATGTCCTAGCCGCAGCACTCGGCCCCCTTGTTTATCTAAGCCGCCGCGCTCGGTCCAGAAATTATCGTAATCTGACCTAACCCTCAAATAATAAAATTACACAATGTTATTTTTTTTGTTATAAAACTTGTTGTAAGGTAATCTTTTTTTATAAAAAGTTAGTCCAACGTTAGTCCAAATGAACATTAGTCCAAACGAACGTTTGTCCAATCGATCGTTAGTCCAATTGATATGACACCCACTGAGAGCTACAATGCAAAGTTGAAATAGACACCAACTATATATAAGAACAGAGAAGATCTAGAAGAGCTGTATCTTAAATCTGTATCCTATAGTTCAAATTGAAAGACATTTCTATGCGATCTTATTTATAAGAGATTAAGTGATGTAAATCATTATTATTAATAACTTTTTAAAAATATTTTCCGTATCCATTTGGATGGTATATGGGTATTGAATTTTGTTTTTGTTTGTTGTTTATCAGCTGCAGAATCTTATGATTAAAGACTATTTAATCCAACCTTACCTTATTTTCATTTCATAGCTGCAACGGAGAGCAGTTAACTTAATTAAAATATCCTTCCTTGTGTTTTTTATTTTATTTCTCCTCTCCCCTTTAATTTGAATTAGAAATAAAGAATCCCACAAATACTTTTAATTTAGAAACACTCCCTTTAAAGATATTGCCTTGTGGGTAGAGACGGGCATCATTTAAGGTCCGTTTTTATGGTGTTAGGTACTTTCCCAAAGGCATTTTCCCAAGAGCGACTTCCCAACTGACAATTTAGCAAGTGAAAACTTCCCAAATGTGCAATTTCCCAAGCGGCAACCTCCCAAAGGTTAGGTTAGGCCCTCTGAGGCACCGGAGGCTGCAATGGGGGCCGAGCGCTGCGGCTTGTATGGGCTAGAGGGCCGAACGCTGCGGATAGAACAGGCTTGGGGCCGAGCGCTGCGGTTAGGACAGACTTGGGAAGTTGCCGCTTGGGAAATTGCACATTTGGGAAGTTGCCACGTGGGAAAAAACCTTTAGAAAAGTACCTAACATCGTTTGTTACACTCAAGTTTTTTCTTACTCTTTAGGGGACTCCAGAACAATCTGAAATGTTAGGCCTATTTCAAATTTTTAACTCAATCATTATGCTAAATTTTTCCTCTGACCAAAGCTATTGATAAAATCGTTTTATTTATTTTTTTGAAAATTTTTTTGGTAAATATATTTTGCACAACGTAAGAAAATCAAACAAATAAAATCTTTTTAGCTGAGGGTCCAAAATCTCATATTCTTTTAGAGCATCTTTAAAGCAAAAAACTTTGAATGTTGCAACGCACCTTAACCCGATTTTTATCAGTATCTGTGGGCACCGAAGCAAAGAATACTAATAAAGCGATTTTCTCCTTAATTAAACTTAAGAATCATTAAATAATTTATATAATTTTCAATTCTATTCTTTCTTTATAAATTTCGATTCACAGTGATAACCAGAAAACAATGGAATAGAAAGACGACATTATTGCAATACTTAAGCGTTTTGATGTTTTTACAAACCAAATATTGTTACTAGAATGCAAAACACTTTTTAAGTAAAATGGGTCTTTTTATACTGTACAATTGCTATGTATAATGTTCATTGAACTATTTTAAGTCCTAACTTGAGCTTAAAGTCGTCTTCCTTTATCAAAGTTTTCTGGTTATCTCTGTATCACAAATTTATATTATCTTAAATCTCCCTTAGTTTTAGTTTTCACCTATAGTTAGAGAATAGAGTCCAGGTTTGAATATCAGGGTTTTGATTAGATCGGAGAGAATGGATCCTGCTCCTTTATCCGATCTGAAAAGTTTGGAGACGCAGGACGAGGTTTGGTGGCAACCAAGGATTATTCTCCGGGAGATGTTGTCTTTGCTCTGAAACCTGCAACATTAGGAAACCAAAACTTAAATAGGAACAAAATTAAAATATCTGAAAATTATAAAAGCGGGAGAAAATTTTTACAATTAAACTATAAATACGAAATCACGAAAGCTGTAAACCAGCAAAATCTGGTAAAATATAACAAACCTTTCATTTTTCAATTTGACGTACTTGTAACTTTAACTCCAAAAATACACTTTTAAAATTATTCAAACGTTATTAATTGAAATTACTGCAAACTAGAAATATAATTTGAAAACTAAATATTTAATGGCAAAAATGATTAAACTAGAAATAATCTGAAATGGTGATTTTCTATCCAAAGCATGATTTTTAACGTCCTAATAAAATATGTACATTTTTTCACCAACATTAGCTACCAGCCCTTTAGCCTTGAATCTATACTTTACATAAAATCATAAAAAATTTTAACGTTATTAATTTTCTTTAATTTATATTTTTGTAGATACTGTTCATCTCATAATACCAATTTATTAGCGATCGGCCAAGGATAGCACTAGTAAGTAAGGAAAAGTTAAGTAGGAGAATTTGAGAGAGAATTTTTTACGGAGCCAGTGAACACAGAGAACAAAAAAGATAGGAAAGGTTAGATAGAAGAGAAAAGACAAAAGAAACAAAATCAATTCTTAAAAGGAAAAAAAAATTTCCTTATTTCTTTCTTTTTACTTTTCATGACTGACTGAGAAAAGGACAAAAGAACATAAGTCAATTATGTTTGAAAATCCAGCTTTCTACAAGTCATTGGCAAATCAACGCTTCATGCGATTATTAAAAATCATATTATTAACCAAACCAAATAGTTAAGCCTAAGGAAAAAAAGGAAGCAAGATCAGCCCGCGCAAAATAAGTGTTCACTATGGTTTACAGGGTTACCCATAGTAAAGTTTTTAAGAGCAATGGCGCAACACAAAACGTTGGGGTGTATGACTTTTAACTAATCTTGAGCAGAACAAAATAATTGAAAGACTTTGATAACAAACTGGAAATAGATTTATTGATATTTCGTTTTTATTTGTATGCGTGAGCTTGTGCCCACAACTTTTATCCAAAAATAAATTATTAAAGTTAAAAATTAACGATCGGCCTTTATAATTTCAAAAGGTTTTTATCTTTAACTTGACTGATTAAAGTTTGAACTGACGGGACCATTTGAAATATTGTCTTATACCAATAAAAGAAAGTAAAAGTAAAATTCCTGCGACATGATTTGTACGATTTTGTGACCTCGCAGCTTCTCAAGCTTTGAATTTATGTACAAGTATGAGAAATCCATTGACATATGTTGACATATTAGAAATTCATAAAATTTTTGTTCCTCTCAGTAGTTCAACAATAGGAGGAGTAATGTTTAAAACATTTAAGATTTCAATCTTATATGTGCAATTTAGTTTAGTTTGCCGTGATCTATAGTTCTTGTTAGGACAAAAAAATTATTTCATCAAATACTTTCCAAACACTGTATTTAAAAAAACATGAGCAAAAATCTCAAATTAGAATTCTAAATACTTTCAAAAATCCCCCTATTCTATATTTATTTTTAAATGAGTAAATTCCTTTCAAGAAGGGAAAAATGAATTAGTCCTATACTTAAATTTTCTAATTGTTTTCAACAAAAATTTTAAATTAGAAATTTAAATGCTATTTATTTTTAAAGGAGTAATTCTCTACAAAAAGGAAATAATAAATTACTCCTATACTTAAATTTTCAAATTGTTTTCAACATGAATTAAACTGCAAACTTTTGATTAGCAAGCTTTGACTATTTGATCTTACAAAATTTATAATTCAAAAATATCAAAAAGGTCTTGTGCGGTATCAAGTAGCAAAACTTTAAATCTTCGAACATTAGAGTTAGAAGCGAGTAATCAGTGCCAGCCTTATTGAAAGACATTTTCTCCGAAAAAAAATACATATTTATGAAAAGGTGGATTTTAGAAAAGGCAATTAAAGATTGCTTAAAGCTCAGTAAACGTCATCACAGCTGGACTGTATACGTACAAACAGTTTCCAGTTTATAAGTAATATTTTAGTTTTAAAATAAAAAGACGATTACTCATTAAAAGGGGTTGGCAGGAATTAAAAATAAAATTTTCAATTTTATTGTTGAACTTAATTTTTTGTTTAAGTTTAATGTCAATGATGTGTTTTTAACAAACTAATTTCCTTTCTTTCTGTAATTTTAACTAAGCCAAAAGGGGAAATTACCTAAAGGGCAACTAAGCTAATCATCGAGAGGATTTCAGAAAAATATATAATGACGTACTTGTTATCTCCTCCCCATTATAAGTCATCAAGTCTAACCCAAGTACCACTTTACTAGAAGGTTAGTTAATAACCTAGAATTTTTAAAAAACCCTGAGGTCCTATCGGAGATAACCGTTTCTGATTATACAAATCAGCTGAACTGGCAGAAGTATAGTGACAGAAGCATCAGATCGAAATAATAACAAAAATAAACGGCATACGTACTATTGACACATTTATCCAGAGTATACGTGCAATAGTTCTCCTACGTCACCTTTTAAAACGCCATTTTTCTGTTTAATACTGCATGCAACTAAAACTAAATTTCATAAAATATTATAAGGTTTGTTTTAACGTTTAGGCCCATGTGTTCGGTAAGTATCAACTGAAATCAACTAAAATCACAAATTTTTCGGCAATAATAATAGCAGTTATTAACCAAACATAAGTACGATAAATATTACTATAACTACTGCATTAGGAGAGCTTAGATAGCTTAGAGCTGTTTAACAAATGTTTTAATTTAATGATTTTTTAGGATATGAATTCTCTTGTTATATAGTAAGTTTAGTTTATTTATTATTATTATTATTATTATTATTAAAGTGAAAATTCGGAGGGAGATATTTGAAGTATAAAATATATTGATCAAATAATTGAGACTTTGTAACTCGTCGGAGACCTTTTAAAAATCAAAAGTGTACACCATCAGGTTGCAAAGATATAGGGATTGGCTCAATTCCTTTGGTGGAAGATTAATTTATTAGTTTTCTTTATTTATCAGAAATGAATTATAAAAATACGAAGAAATCTGTAAAAGATTATATTTGAATTAAAGGATTACAGAAGTTGAGTGATAATGTTGAAACCAAATTCACGAAAAAAAACTAAATATTTGTTTAGTTCTCAAGTTCAATGTGTAAACTGCTTAATGGTTCTTCATGACAAGATGACCTGCTCAAAGTGCTCACTCCCTGTGTGTGATACAAAATGTGAAAGGAAGACATTGATTATATATATTTATACAAATAATGTATATATATATATATTCCTACAAATCATATAAATTTATATATTTATACAAATTACATATAACAATATCGTAATGGAAACAAACCCTAGTTAAGATTGTTAAATTGAACTAGAAATCTGATGAATGAATGTGATTTTCCTTTTGCTGTTGCTTTAACATATTTTCATATATCTGGATATATATCTTCTAAACAGACACTTCAATATGTTGCTTTAACATATTTTCATATATCTGGATATATATCTTCTAAACAGACACATCAGTATGTTGCTATAACATATTTTCGGGTTTCTACAGTATTGCCATCTTTTTCAGAAATTATTAAAAATGCCTTTGTCCCTTTAGAAACTGCAACTTATTTTTTCAATGTTAAGCGTTAAAAAAGTAAAAGATTGCTGAAGTGAAGTGTATCTCTTTTTTATTTTTTATTGTTTAAATTGTTATAGGCGTCAAATTAATACAACCTGGAAACCATCAATATATATCTGGTTTTGTTTTAGTAAATATTTATTGATGCACGAAACATTTGAGAGCACAAAATATGCGATTTTTATTCATTAATTTTTTCGCTTCGTTGTCAACCCTCTATGAAACGCCCTCTTTTTGATCAATGAACCCCTCTCAGAGGAGAACACCATCAAGCTGAGTGTCAGGTTCTACAAAAGATCCGAGATGGATTAAAAGATCAGCAAGGCGGAAGAAATCTTTACAAGGCGGAGATAAAGAACCTGACCTCCGCCGTGATGACGATACGCCTCTTCTCACTTAAATGGAGGTAAAGAATTGAATATAAAATATATATGCTTTTCATTAATAAAAGTTCTTGTTTACGTTAAATATAGAGTTAATGAACCATGAGAAAGCAACACCAGTATTTTAATGATTCTAGAAAATAAGACCTAGTTTTATAATTAATGAATCGTGGTAGAAACCTGGATTAGTATATGTGCAGGGTGTCCCACATCATATTGGACTGAGTATTGGGCTCGCATTTTAAAAACGATGATATCAATTGAAGATTCAAGTTTAGATTACTTTATGGATCCCGGAACCGGGGACCTTGTTTCTTTGTAAATAGATCATGGTGATAACTAGGATTAGTATTGATACTTTATGGATCATAGATCCTGGAACATGGTTTCATCACGTTAATGGATCAAAATGATAACTTGGATTAGCATTGATCCTTAGGGATCCTGGAACCTGGAACCTGGTTTCAATGTTAATGGATCATGATGGGAACCCGGAACTGTGGAAGAGTATTCTCCAAGCTTATAAAAGCATTCTGATCAAGGTATATCGTCTAACACTACAATTTTCAAAACAAAATAGCGTTATATAAATTCTCTTTCTGTTAAAATATTTTATATTCGAATAAACACCTGTGTTTAGGATCCAAGGTTTGAAGAAAATGAATTAAAACGTGTTTTCGGTATTCAATGTACTAACGGAGCTAATCTTCATCTTCCTCCAACCCATGGTCGAGGAGTTGGAGTTTATCCAATATTTGCATTACTCAACCACTCTTGCATGTAAGTTATATACAGGGTTATCCACTAAGAATGAGATTTAAAGACAACCAGGAACGTTTGAAATAAACCATCTAATGGTTGATATTGTTATTTTCTTAAACGCTGAAACCTCAAAGAAGTTAATTGGCTGCCTCAAACTCTATTTTCTAAAATATTATTTAAACTTAGACTACAATTGATGTACTAGAAGGCATAGTTTGAAATATCTAAGGTCCACAGTCTCTTCTATTTTTTTTAATACAGTGATAACCAGAAAACTCTGGAATAGGAGGCCGACTTGGAGACTCTAGTTATGACTTTAAAAAGTCTAATGAACATGAAACAATGCAATTATAAAGTGTAAACAGACCCACTTCAATTAATAAGTGATTTAAGATTTAATAACTTGCTAGTAAAGCTATTTTCTTTCTAACAACACTAAATGTACTTCAGTATTGGTTTAACATCGTCTTTCTATTCTACAGTTTTCTGGGTATCACTGTAGCTCTGTTCAAAAACCTTTATCCAGTAAACCAAATACATTATCAAGTACAATAAGTACAATAGGTGGCAACAGAGAAATGGATCAATAATACACGCGACGTCACATGTGTCAAAAATAACAAGAATAACGATATTTTCTCACACTGGTTGACATGTTTTCACAGGTTAAATAAAAAGTGTAAAAACAGAAAAAAAGAACTCATAAAACTGCACTTATTCTATTGTAAGATAAGCAATTTATTCTAAAATTTTCACTAATAATTTTGTCGGACACAAAAACTGAGTTGACATTTGTGACGTAAGAATACAGCTGTACTGAGAGGAGAATGTACAAATTCTACGTTGCCATCTATTGTAACTAGAATCTAATTGCAAATTGCAGTAAACTATATTGTGGAAAATAAGGGCGGTAACTTTCTGATGTAAGATTTCTGAAAGCCAGAAGCTGTCCTGATTCTCTAAACTTTATTTTAGTAATCATTTACACCCGAAAAAAATCGTAATTACGTAAATTGGACATTTGAATTTTTGGCCAAATTCATAAAATCAAAGATTTGGATGGATCAGGAAACTCCCAATCCGATCCAAATGGGAAGTGAACGCATGAAATAATTCACTAAGTTTGGAACCTGCAGCGTTGCCTAAATAAACAAGTTTTCCCTTTAAAAGATTGACTACTTAATTAGGAATTTTAAAACCAAGCTCAGGATAATCCCATGGTTCTACCGTTTTCCAATTAAAATTTGAGGCAAATCGGTCCAGGGATCTGCATCATCAGCCTGAAGGAGTCATGGGGGGTGATGAAGAGCTTCATGTTGGTGGGGCAGATCAACAGGTGCGTTGCGCTGAGTATCTTCATCATCATGAAGGAGCCAGGGTTGAGATGGAGTTGTGAATGTCTTGAGTGTTTATAGCTGACTGAATACTGGGAGGTGTAGAGAGGTGAGGAGCGAAGGTTACATGTGTGGTGTGCTTCATGGAGGAAATGGATCCTGTGTAAACACACATCTAGAGAATTAACATCGGCATTTGAGTCGGTGAAATCGTCTTCCTTATATTTCGAATTTATTTTAACAAATATGTATTTCTCATTCTGGATGGTATACAGAATAATGTTTTTCTTCTTGGTCGGATTCAGCTGTAAAATCTATTCCTTCCTTTTTGCTGTGCACAGCCTGAACCTGACGTTTTCTACAGGTTTATACTCCGGTTATAAATTAGTAGATTTTGATTTTTTCTTAAAATCTGAATCTGCTGCGCCTGCATCATTCATGTACATCCTGCATCATTCATGTACATCCTGCATCATTCATGTACATCCTGCAGTAATTTTGAAGAAAAAAAGAAGAAGAAAAAGAGATCTCCAAAGCATATTCCACAGTAAAGAAGTTTCTGAAATACGCTATATCTGCTTTTGAGAAATTAAATATATAAATTTAGAGTTGTTCAAAGAATTGTAACTACTGAGGATCGTCATGATAGACGTGAAACATTATGTTTAGTATAATTCTTTCTTTTACTAAAAATGTGAAGTTAAAAGCTGAAATATAAATATAAAGATATAGATATATCTGAAAACACAGATTATTTATATATATATAGATTTATACATACAATTCTTAATTCAGGTGTAATTCAGAAACCCTAGAGAGCGCCGAATCCCATTCTGTTGTAGTCAAAGCAAGATTTAAAATCGAGGTAGTATATATAAATATAGTTACTCACTATCCTCGATTTCTCTAAACATCGAAATGATTCTTAATTAAACGGAAAATTCCTGAACTGCGTGAATTATCTTAATATATTTTATACACTTCTTAAATCCCTAAAAACCCTTGAGCTTCTGCAGTTAATTCTATGAAATGTCTCCTGTTTTAGCTACGAAATGTCTAAATTCCTGGATGACTCTCCGTAATGTCTGAATTCTTAAAACCTCTGAACTCTTGGTTAACTCTTTGAAATGTCTAAATCTCTTAAACCCCCTGAACTCCCGTTTAACTAAAAAATGTCTTGATGACTCTCCGAAATATCTGAATTCCTTTAAATTTCTTAACTCTTGGTTAACTCTCCTAAATATCTGAATCGCTGAAACCTCTGAACTCTTGGTTAACTTTCCTAAATATCTGAATCGCTGAAACCTCTGAACTCTTCTTTAACCCTCCTAAATATCTGAATCCCTGAAACCTCTGAACTCACTCATGATTAAAGCACCAAGAATATATTTTAGACTGGAGAGGAGATATCAACCTGCTACTTGAAGCCAGAGCAAGCAACTTTTGCTCGTAGACAATTCCTCTTCAATAAATGGAATTTCTGGTGTTCATGTCGTCGTTGCTCCGATCCTTCGGAGTTGGGAGCATTTTCTGGAGGTAGAAAGATTTCAAGACTTTTAAACAAAAATATTTAGTTTTAAAAAAATTTATTTTTTAAAAAGAGAACAAAGTGTGTTTTAAAAATCGTTTATAATGTTAATTGTAAACGTAATTGTGCTCACAGCAAAAGAGCACACAGAGATAAGTCACTTATTTTCCATATTTGTTGAGATACCCTGTATAACAGGTATGGTCTGTTTGAATGGTAGATGTGGAGGTCTCCTTCTCCCTTGTTCCCCTCTAGAAGAAATATCCCCCTGGTTCTGCCAGGATTGCAGAACACAGTTCTCCTGGCACCAGATCTCGAATATTCTAGAACAAACTCTGCTGGTGAGTCACTTGTAAAAACATGGATATTTTGTGAATAATTCAGATTTAGTTTACAGCATAATTAACTCATTAACTCGTCTTTAATATAGAAACCTTGAACATTGAAATTTGCAAAAGAAAAGAATTGAACTACAGTTTTATGTTTGCAGTTTACTTCATCTAGCAATTAGGAACCCATGGGCCTCGAATTCGGTTGAAACAAAGAATGATCTTAGTCTGGCTTAAAACTTTAAAGTTAAGCGAGTTGACTTTCATTGGTAAAACTTCAGACAGAGCTGAGTTCCCAAGCTAATTTACAATATAAACTATAGTTTTCCAACTGGGCAGATTTTTAAAGAAATTGGAAGCCGACATTTGCTCGAAAAAGTTGCTGATCCTCTCTCTAGGAGGTTGAGAGTGCAGGAAGTGGAGGAAGTGTTGAAAGATTGGAAGAACTTATATTTACTCTTCGTCAATATCTTTATCATACTCATTATATGTTAATACAGGTAACATATATCTAAATTAGAATTAAGTAGATATTTAATAGGTTAATTGATTAACAAACCCCCTTTTTATTCTGCTATTTAGGATATGAATTATTTTAAAATTAGATGGAGTGAGCTATTTGCAGACTGGGTCGAGTTTGAAATGTCCTAATGCCTTGACCTTTGATTTTACCTCCCCATCTCACTTATTCTTTTTTGTAGCTCTATACGTGTACATTTTAGAACTATAAAGTAATTGTTTTAGCCTTTCATTTTTTTAGAGTATTTTTATTTATAAATAGAGACAGAAGTAAGCGATTTTATGCACTTAAAAATTTAACAAACAGACTTTCTGTTATAGAGTCATCTTAATTTTCTGTTCTTTTAAAATTGCATTTATGGATTTACACTTAACAGACAGTTGCACTTAAAATTATACAGATGACTATTCATCAAACATAAAGTATAATTTTGAAAGGCAAATTAATATCCTTGCATTTAGCCTTTACAGGCCAATTAGTACTTTTTAAATGGAATATTTAGGACAGAAATGCTCGAGTTAGATTGTATTTTTAACAGAAATATCAATTATAAATCTAAAAATAAAATATTTTATCTTAAAAGAACTTTGAAAATTAAGCTGTAATGTAAAGAATTTATTTCTTTATAGTGCGACAGGGGATGGTTTTGAAGTTATAATGACGCGGCACCAATCATTTTTGATCTTAATCCTTCAGTCTGTAATTTATAGCGCTCAGACGATTTCTTCCCCCTCCCTTTGGCCGGATGGACAAATTTCTCCTACTTAAGACATTTTACTCATACACTCAGTGATGCAACTAGGGGGGAGGGGGGCGAACCTACTTTGTCCCCCACCCTAGCATATTTCGCCCCTCTCGCCCCTCCCTCACTTGACTCCAAATTTTGCCAATTTTTAAGAGAATACAACAATTTTTTTTTGGGCGCTTCGCGCATCATTTCTAATAAAATTTCAGACTGTTTCCTTGTTTTCGACTTCAAAAAAGTCAGTCATACTTATTTTATCCTCCCAAAAAAAAGACTGTATATATGTTACTTCTCATGAGTATTACAATACATATACCATTTAATGTTATACAAAATCTGAAGAATAACAAGAAGTATAAGGATTATATCGGATTACCAGGACTTTTGCAGACTTTATGAGGAAAACAGGAATGAGCCCCTTACTGGCAAACAAGGACAGAGGGACTTCGATCAGAAAGACTATTAGTATTATGGATTATGGACAGGCGAAAGATATAGTCAAGTACTGCCAGGAACTACTTACTACTTAGGATTGTACAGACCTACAAGTAAGGGACTATATAGTTGACTCTTTAAACACAAGAACAAGTAATGGATATTATAAGAATTTGGTATATTATTGAGCACAGAGCCAACCCTTAAACAATTAAAAAATGCGTTTTTTACATTTACCCCCCCCCCCCCTCCTAACAAGTTAGGCAGTTTTCAGCATTGTCTATTAATCCTTGGAAACCAGTTGAACTCAGTTTTCTCCAGGTTGAGCAGAGACTTCTACTTCAGTATTGGGATAGGAGCAAAGGAAATAAAGAGAAGATTTCAAGACCCGTCCTTGATAGAATTATTCAGGTCATCATAAAACACGTAATTTTTCTCAAAAATAAAATATTTTTAATTTTAAAATTATAAAATTTTGTATTTTACTTTTTCAGTTGAGTAAAAATATACTAGTTCAACAGGAGCGAACGGATCCAGGTATCAAATCAAATCATCATTAAATCATATATTTTTCTGCATTAAACTTTCCCTCCCTTCTGCTAATATTTCTATTAGAAATGATTTATAATTAAGGAGAGAGTAGACAGAGAAGAATATTAGAAGAAATCTATTATTCGTCAATACTGGAGAGAGGTTGCAAGGTAATTAATGTACAACTGTTATGAAACTACAGATTAGAGATTTTAGAAACATGACAAACCATTTGTTATGTTTATTTGGGATAATTAGTTCAATATAACGTAATTTAATAATTTTCTAGATTTCTCTACGAGAGACACCTAGCGGCCAAATAATCGTCCTCATCAAAAAAAAAGTTTAATTGAAATTATCCTAACATTTTTTGAAATTCATTTATGACAATTAAATGAATTAAAATGGGCTCTACGCTCTTAAGCATTATAAAAAAGCATTTTTGACAACTTTGTATAAATTTTTGAATTTTTTTTATAGGCAGTCCCTTTAAAAAAATCTGCGGAACTATTTTTTACTCAAAATTAGATGAGTAGAAAAACTAAAGTGCGGGAACATAATTGCTCTATCACACCCAAAGAGAATAGAATATATATTAGAGGGGAATTTACTAGAAAAAGTGTAATGGCCATTTTGCTGTACTGTTTCCATACTGCAGGTGTACTTCACATATTTATGCTATATAACCTTTTAAATCAAATGATGTTTTTTATTCACCTTATTCATTATAAAGTTTATTTAACAGCTTTAAAAAATTCGAAATTGAAATGGGTAGTCTATGGAACATACTGTATTAATATACTCTACTGCATATAATTTGTGAACATTTACATGATTTGTACAATTTGAACTCCCTTTCAGGCTGAAAGGGACTGAAAAAATACATACCGAGAGATTCTCTGAATTTCCCCTAATAATCTCTTTGATCACACCTTAAAATCTTGAACATATCAGATGAGTAGTTTCGGAGAAAATGTGCAAATTTAATTTAAGAAATTCCGCAATTTTAGTTTTTAAAATAATCATTAGAAGCAAAGTTTTGTTTGCAATGGCTCTTTATTTTTTAACAGAGCAGAGAATATTTATTATTACTTTGAAATACAGCAAGAACAAGGGAAAAGAGGATTTTAAAAAAAAATATAATTGCGGATTTTCTGAATTTAATTTTGCGCATTTTCTCCAAACATTTCCTCAGAGAATTATTGTCTTAGGATTTCAAGCTCGGCGTAATTACACGGGAGAAACTTCAGAATTTTATACTCTGCAAACAGGCCAGGATGAAAATTTGACATTTTCGCTTTTTTTTATTTGTTAGAAATAAATATTTTTACATTTTTATGCAAATTGTTAAGTTTTAAATTGTTATATTAATAAAGCAAGCAGTATCAAATTATTATATGTTTAAAGTTGTTAATTATTTTTAATCAATTAAATCTAAAGGAAATGAGCATTTGCAACAAACTCTGATTTTCTATTCCCTATATCTTTGCAATCCAATGTCGTAGACCTTGGATATTTCAAACTATAAATTCTGTAAGATCAAATAATCTAAGTTTGAAATATCAAAGGTTTACACAATCAGGTTGCAAAGGTTTAAGGAATAGAAAATTTGAGTTTGTGACGAAGACTCAATTATTTAAAATGTTGTGTATCAAACAAGAATAGTATATAGCAGGTAACAAAGAATTAATAAATTTAATCCAAACGATTTTTTATTATAGTCATCAGGAGGAAAGGTTTATACGACAGATATTGGGCCCAATTTATACATGTTTACCATTTATTGAAAAATGTATTAGTTTATATGGTTTTTCAAATTGAAAAGGAGAAATGATATGTGTTTTTATGTCAAATTTGAAGATGAATGAGATAAACATTTAACACATATTTACGTTTTGAATGTTTTAGTTTTTAGAAGATTTATCATAGTTTAAGATGATTTACTGTTAAAATACACACAACAACTGATAATGGCTGAGTCTTAAAGGAAAAGTTCTTAATAAAGGAAAAGGGGAAAAGGGGAAAAGAGGTAAAGGTTGATTGTTTCTAATCTTTTGTCACCTATTGTTTTTATTAAGAATCACCCTGTGTCCGAGTTTAATGAATTTATCTCGTGTCTCAAATCCCTCAAGAACTGGTTTCGATCTTGAAAATTTGAATAAGAGAAACCAACCAAATTTAAGCCACGGCTTAAATTCTTTAAATTCGTCCTCTGGACTACTAATTTTGTTTCTTAAATTTGAATTTAATCTTGTTTTAGTCTATAATTCGACAATCTTTAAATTGAGGAGGTGAATTTCTTACACCTCAGTGGAATTTTAAACTTTGAAAAAATCTAATATTGAAAAAAAATAATTTCGAATTCAAAAAAATTCAGCCAATTCGATCCAGCCGTTTGGCCAGCTATATCTAATAAATAACTATATCTAATATATAGCTATATCTATAGTAATTAACAGCTTGCATTAGGAAAAAGGCCAAATTTTTAAGTCTGCGTGAGTTAAATTGATAAACAACTGTTTCCGGACAAATAAAAAAATCCAAGATGTCAGATTTTTTTAATCAAAATTACAACTAAAATTATTCAGTTCATTGAATCCAAATATTACCATGGATCAACATGATTAAGCTGGTAAGGATGGAACTAACATTGATATTAATGTCATCCAATATCTTAAATCCACAGTTGATAATTAATATCCTGAATCCACAATTAGTAGTAAGGGTATGGAACACTCAATAATAGTAATTAGTATCTTAAACACTTAATTAGTAATTAGTATCCTGAATCCACAATTAGTAATAAATATCTTAAACATTTAATTAAGAATTAGTATCCTGAATCCACAATTAGTAATTAGTATCTTGAACACTTAATTAACAATTAAGATCCTGAATCCACAATTAGTAATTAGTAACCTGAATCATCAATTAGTAGTTAATATCCTGAATCCACACTTAGTAATTAGTGTCTTGAACTTTATATAGATAATTAGTATCTTAAACACTTAATTAGTAATTAGTATCCTGAATCCACAATTAGTAATAAATATCTTAAACATTTAATAAAGAATTAGTATCCTGAATCCACAATTAGTAATTAGTATCTTGAACATTTAATTAACTATTAAGATCCTGAATCCACAATTAGTAATTAGTAACCTGAATCCTCAATTAGTAATTAATATCCTGAATCCACAATTAGTAGTTGGTAACCTGAATCCCCACACGTAGTAGTTAGTGTCTTAAACACTCAATAAATAATTAGTTTCTTAAATACTTAATTAGTAATTAGCACCCTGAATCCACAATTCACAAATAATTAGTATCTTGACTCTACAATTATTAATATAATTAATAATTAGTAAATATCCTGAGCATTCAATTATTAATTAATATTTTGAACACTCAATTAATAATTAGCATCATGAAAACTCAATTGTTAATTAGATTTTCAATCTACAATTATTAATTTAAATCCATATTTCATAATTAGTATTATGCTTTAGCATAATAAAGGTGACATAAGAAAGTTAAACCTTAAATTTACACATTACAGCTCTGTATATAAATATTTACAGGATATGAATGATAATTTGTTTTTGTTCTTGTTGTTTTCAACAGATGGCAAACTAATTACTTAAACCTATTTTAAGACCTGAGCTTCATGCAAAGAGTTACAAGAAAACAATTTTACATATTATTTATTAGTATTTTCAAAAATGATATAACAAATGTGAAACTTACCTGTGTGCGTCTTGCAAAAATATATTAAAAAAAGTTAGATTATAGAAAAAAAACATTTAAACTTTCTTATCTCTTTTCAAAAGAAAATTTATAGAGCATTCCTAAAGATTCTGAAATTCAAATTCATGTAATAAAATGAAAACTTCGCCAAGCTCGGAGAGAAATAGTAAAAATTTTGTAAAATGCGTTCTTTGAAAAATGAAATTTTCTTGAGAGGAAACCTGCTTTACAAGTTAAACTGTTTATACTTCTGGATTCATATATTAAGGTTTATGAATTAATTAGGTATTTTTATCCAGAACAGTTTAGTTAGTTCATTAAGTTCGTTTGACTAAACTTTTTAACAAATCAATTAAATCATGTTCATCTAACCAGGTTTATCTAACCTGAGCTGAAAACTTTAGAATGGTGGATATCAGGATTAATGCTTAATCCACTTTTTTTTTTAATCTCCAGATTAATTAATCTAGAGATTAATAATAAGAGAAGAACAAGCATTATTTAAACTGGATATTAAGAAAAAGAGGAGTTTAAGCATTAATCTCGATATCCACCATTCTAAAGTTTTCAGCTCAGGTTTATCTAACCAGAGCTGAAAACTTTAGAATGGGATATCCTTAATCCCGATCGGTTAATTAATCTTGAGATTGATAACAAGAGGAGAACAAGAATTATTTAATCTGAAGATTAAGAAATAGAGGAGATCAAGCAATAATCCCGATATCTACCATTCAAAAGTTCCCAGCTCAGGTTTATCTAAACAGGGTTATCTAACCTGCGGCCTTCGTTAAAGAATACATCAAGAATATTTCATCTCGTAGAGCTGGGAACTTTAGAATGGTGGATATGAGGATTAATGCTTAAACCTATGTTTTTGCTAATCTCGAGACTAACATAATCTCAAGATTATGTTAGTCTTGAGATTAAATATCTAGATCAACAAATTGGATTCTAAGAACGCCAGATTGGTTCGTTTTCCTAACTGGAAGGGCCTTCACTTAATTTCTCACCCATTCATTTATTAATAAAATTAGTTAAAATTGGTTACAAAAGAATCTCAAACGTATTATTAAACATTTTTCTTCACCGATTGATATACAAAATGGCCGACAACAAATTCTTGATTTGTTAGAAATTGCGGATTTCTCTCATGGGATAGAATTATTTTTCAAGGCTGTCATTGGTCAATGCAATTTACGAACTATATTCCTGCACTCTCATTGGAGAAAACAATGTACGGATATCCAAAGAGAGAGATAAAGAGTGGATTAACGACTAAAAATAAAAGTTTCCACCGTGGATATTTGGATAAAATAGTTGGGATTAAAGGTTATCCATTCTAAAGTTCCCAGCTCAGGTTATCTACTTAAACAATATATTTTTTTGTATATTCATAAAGCAGTACAAATGTTAGAGTAGAGATGAGTCATACTTATATGTGTGTTTTTAAAGAACGAAAATCCTATTCTTTCGGGAAATTACAATTTTTTTTTCGCAAATGAAATAGCAGCAAACTTTTGTGAAAATATATATATTTTTTTTTTTTGAAGGAATTACTTAATTTTTGGAATAATCCTTACTTTTATTGGAAAACGAAGCAGTTGTGTCTTAGTACTTTAGTACTTAGACAATACAACTCATCGTTCATTCGCACAATTGGTCTACAAGATTTGTCCTGGGATATATCCGAGGCATTCTCACTAATTAACTGATGAATAAATTAGGAACCCTGCAACCACTCAGTACAGTAATCTTTCTTTGATTGACGTATTTAGAACGTCATCTACAATAAAACTAAAAGGAGAAATGACACAAATTTTCAAGAAAGATTCACGTCTTCATTTTTGAAAAATAAAGATAGAACCTCAAGTTCAAGTTCAAAGGGAAAATGGCGGGAAAAAAAGGAAGGAAATGATAAACAAAAAAAACTAATTCATCACCAAACTCAGGATGGTTATTACCTATATATATTCAGGCTCAATTTGTACCTGAAATCTGGAAAACCTACATTTTCTCAAAAAACGAGAAAATGCGGGAAAATATTCTCCTTTCGGTTGAGAAACTATTTAAATTCTAAAAAGTAAGTATAACTTGTCTAAATACAAATAACAGCAATCTACTATCAACATGTTTGGCGGTCAAAACTTGTTAACCCTTTCAGAAAGTATATAATCCGCAGCTTTTCCAATCTGACGGAATAAGTAAATATCTGAATATCTCTGAACGTCCCACCAATTAGAAGCCCAAAAACACTGGTAATGTCCTATGATAATGATAACTCACGGATTTATTTTATGGAGAGGATATATATATACATGCTTGTTTTTACAATGATGTCACTTTCAAGTAAAATGTATTATTTATATACATACATAAATAAAAATTATAGTTTAAATGAGAAATGACTTTGTGAAAATCTAGGGGGTCCACCCCCCTTAATTTCACTCACGGGGGGTAATTGACTGTCACCACCCCCACTCTGAAACCGCCATGCTTACATATTGTATAACAACATGTCTGTAATTAAACAAGTTGCACCGTTATGAAAATTGAACAATTTATTGCAGATTTTTATCTATTTTTGTTTCTGTTCTAAATTGATAAAAATTGTTTGTTTAAAACTTGATTCTTGTCTTTTTTGAAAGTATTTTTAAGAATAACTTTTTGATTTTCATTTTTATATCACAATCTTAAATTTTCATACATTTATTGATTTTGAATGAGCGCTTTTCTTAGAGTCTGCAATTATTATTATAATTATAGCATGCAATGGAAGGAGTTCGCATCGTTTAAACTTAATAGACCTGTAAAGGTGTGTACACATATTATTTTCAAATCTGGCCTCCCGTCAGTTATCCCGGGTACTTTAACACGATCTGACCTGGATTATTTGTTGACAAAGGAACAGGTTGGTCCAGCCGTCAAATCAGCTCTTTTAGCCAATTCAATTCAATGCTTAAATTCAAATTCAAATAAAAATATTCTCCTTTTTTAATTTAGTCAGCCTAACATTCATTTAGAATGAATTAGATATGAATGGAATCATGAATTGGAGGGCAGCCTTGCCGCCAGTGGAGGAATAGACAAAGCTCAGCGGCATGAAACTCCCGATATATTTCTTTTTAAGGAGATGATTTTTAGACCAATTTTTATTTTCTATTTTTTCTATTTTACAATCCAGGTCCAGCTTAAGGTGTCCAAACCAAGGAGAATAAAAAACACTGTTTTTTCGCTTGTTCGCTCTTGCAGGAAAATAAATCCAAATTTAAGGCAAACACTGAAAAGTTCACTATTGGAACTGAACACGTGCCTCAAACTCTCTAACTCCCTTAGATCTGTACAGACAGTTTCAGGGTCCACTTCAAAAGTTTCAGGGTCCACTTCAATAGTTTCAGCGTCCACTTCAATAGTTTAAGTTTCCACTTCAACAGTTTCAAGGTTCAACTGTTGAAGTTTCAGGATCCACTTCAACAGTTTCAGGTTCCACTTCAACACTTTCAGGGTCCACTTCAACGGTTTCAGGATCCACTTCAACACTTTCAGGGTCCACTTCAACGGTTTCAGGGTACACTTCAACACTTTCAGGATCCACTTCAACACTTTCAGGGTCCACTTCAACGGTTTCAGGGTACACTTCAACACTTTCAGGGTCCACTTCAACGGTTTCAGGGTCCATTTTTCAATTTGTTGGGACTAATTTTACAAGGTCCAAGGTTTGTGGATTTAATTTATTTAGGTTTTTTCGAGTTTACGAGCCGACTTGATACCCAGATAAACATTCAATTCTAAACAAAAATATCTCAGGCTCATGAGAATATGTAGATTTAAAAATAAATAAATTGAAAAATATTATATTTAGGATGCTGAGCAGATTTGTTTTCTGCACTTTTCTAGTTCTAGTCATTCTAGCTCTAGCTCTGGTTGATGAAGCCAAAGCGAACAAGGAATATCACATTTATTCACAGAATATGATTTATTTAAGAACTATATGTACGGGACGGTCATTGTAATTTCTAGTGGAAGATATCAACGTTTTCTTTGCCTAAAAAGTTGTTAATTCTTAAAAATTTCCTCCATTATTTATATGATAAAAAATGCACACGTCACTTTAAAGAGAAGCAACAATAGAAAATTATTTATTTTAAAGTGAAGATGGTAAACTTCTAATGCCTGCTTGATTAGACAAAGCTATTTAAGATATTTAGGATATTCAGGATATTCAGGATATTTAGGATATTCAGGATATTTAGGATATTTAGGATATTTACGATGTATAGGATAATGAGGATATTGAGGAAATTGAGAAAATTTAGGATATTTAGGATATTGAGGATATTTAGGATATTGAGGATATTTAGGATATTGAAGATATTGAGGATATTTAGGATATTTAGGATATTTAGGATATTGAGGATATTGAGGATATTTAGGATATTGAGGATATTGAGGATATTTAGAATATTTAGGATATTGAGGATATTGAGGATATTGAGATTATTAAGGATATTGAGGATATTTACGATGTATAGGATAATGAGGATATTGAGGAAATTGAGGAAATTGAGGATAATGAGGATATTGAGGATATTGAGGATATTGAGGATATTGAAGATATTGAGGATATTGAGGATATTGAAGAAATTTAGGATACTAAGGATATTTAGGATATTGATGATATTGAGGATATTGAGGATGTTTAGGATATTTAGGATTTTTAGGATATTGAGGATATATATTATTTGGATATTGAGGATATTTTGAACATTTAGGATAATTAGGATATTTAGGACATTGAGGATATTGAGGATATTGAGGATATTGAGGATATCGAGGATATTGAGGATATTGAGGATATTAAGGATATTTAGAATATTTAGGATATTGAGGATATTGAGGATATTGGGATTTTTTAAATTTCCCCGGCAAAACGCCTGGCACCTCAGCTAGTACTTGATAATACTACATATTTTCTTCATATATATGTAACATGTATTATGTAATAATAGAAAATGCTTTCATGAGAAATAGCCTTTTAATTTTCGTAATTGTGATGTATGCTTTAGAATGGCTCAATCTTAAAAAACAAAGAAACTAATTATAAATTTAAACTCAAGCGTAAACATTCTCGGGGTCAAACCTCTGGAAGTATCAGAAGTTTAGGAACTGGAATCATTAAGCAAACTGGTACATGCGTTGATACTTCCTGCTATGAACAAATATTAGCTTTTAACAGACTTATGCTCAACCAAGTCAAGAATACTAAGTCTAAGCTGAACAGAGTCAACGTCAACGTTGATAAAATAGGTAGGATAATTTATAATTAATCAGAGTTGATAAAATAGGTTATTATTAATTATTAATCAGAGTTGATAAAATAGGTTATTATTTATAATTTATCAGAGTTGATAAAATAGGTTAATAGGGTTAATCAGAGTTGATAAAATAGGTTATTATTTATTATTAATCAGAGTTGATAAAATAGGTAGGATATATTAACCAAGGTTTCACTTAATTTTTCTTTACAGCTTTTCTTTGTGAACACTAGACATAGTTTTGACATTCGTTGTGATCCCAAATTTACAAATGAGGGAATTTTATGTATTTTTGAAAAGTGAACAAACTCTTTAAATCGTGAAAGGAATTGAATCTTTGTCTCAAACTCAAATTTTCTAATCCCTATATCTATATATATGGAACTTGATGTTGTAGACTTTTGATATTTCTAACTAAGATAATTTGATGCAACAGAATTCATAGTTTGAAATATCTAAGGTCTACGACAATGGGTTGCAAAGATAGAGGAATTTGAAAATCAGAGTTTGTGTCAAAGACTCTGCAATTCCTTTGTCCATTGTCTATACGTGGAATCAATGAGAATCCAACGTCTATGGTTGAACCGTTACGAGGGGTAGATGGGTCGTCTCAGTGTTTTAAGATACAGGGTGTCCCAAAAAACATGGGAATTCAGTGACGAATTCGATATCGTCTTTGTTATGAATTAGCATTGTAATACCTAATTTCAAAAGCAATAATATTATAATGTCTGCTAGAGTTTATTTAAAGAAAAGGGTAAACGACTGCAAAGATGTGTCTATAATGTCTCCGCAAGATGAACAGTGAAGACAGACAAGTTTACTTTGTTTGTATACTGTAATTTTCTTGTTTTACTAAGTACAACCGGTTGCAGTCAAAACATAAACAAACAAAATGTAAACATAGCAGACGAAACTCTTACAGATTACAGCTTTCTCAGTAGGTATCACTATACTAAATCAAAGAATTATTTGAAAAGACGATATCGAATTCGTCACTGAATTCCCATGTTTTTTGGGACACCCTGTACAAAAATTTTGTTCTCAGTACATTTGGAAGGAGTTAAAATGGAAGATCTGCATGACAATTTTATCATTTTATTTCGAATATTTTAGAAAGAAAAAAGAATAATATAAACGTGGTTGATCCTGCTAAAACTGAATTGGAAACATCTATTGGAGGATTAGCCTCGATAGGAAACAATACTCCTGTATGTGGAGGTAGATATGAGGTTGATGATGGAATAAAGGTAAATAAACAATACTCCTGTATGTGGAGGTAGATATGAGATTGATGATGAAATAAAGGTAAATAAAAAATACTCCTGTATGTGGAGGTAGATATGAGGTTGATGATGGAATAAAGGTAAATAAACAATACTCCTGTGTGTGGAGGTAGATATGAATGCCGATCCAATCAGGGTTCATCTATGTGTTTGGTGAATATTATCAACCAATAGAAATTGCAGGGCGGTAACATCTATCCCCTTCTATCCATCTTATTATCTGATAAAATATTAATCCTTAAATCTGCGCTAAACAGTAAACGGAATTTACTTCTTTTGAAACTACGGATATCTGTGAGTGGCCCCTAAAGTAGAAAAAATTAGCTGATTTCCCGTTTTTAAATATATAATTCTAAATGGTAACTCTCTTTTATCAGATGTTGAAATTTGATGATGAAACACTTTGATTTAAAATATCAAAGGTTTGGTCCATCAAGCCCTTTCTTAAAAACTGAATCACTGTAAATATTTAGATTCTGAAGCTCAAAAAAAATTGTTATATAATTTAAAGAGATTTTATCGAAGCAACCCTCTTATAAAAAATATTCCTGATATTACATGAATATAAAAAATATTCCTGATATTACATGAATATGAAAAAATATTTTGAGAACCGAGAGCGCTGCAAAAACTGAGATTATTACCTACATTTAAAGATTAGCCAAAATTCTTAGTTTGTTATATTATATTTTTGTTTCCGTGGCGGCATCTTCATTTACCGGCACACAAACCTGTCTCAACTTACCGTAACAAAATAATCCAAACCCGTAACTAGGCTCAGTTCTAATAATCCAAACCCCGTAACTAGGCTCAGTTCTAATATTCCAAACCCGTAACTAGGCTCAGTTCTAATAATCAAACCCCGTAACTAGGCTCAGTTCTAATAATCAAACCCCGTAACTAGGCTCAGTTCTAATATTCCAAACCCGTAACTAGGCTCAGTTCTAATATTCCAAACCCCGTAACTAGGCTCAGTTCTAATAATATCAATCTTTATTAGATATTCTGTCTGTAATCATCTCCTGAAGGAATAAATGGAATAACGAGACTAAGCATTGATCCTCAAATAAATTAAATGAAAAAATGGATATCGAGATGAATAAAATAGGATTAAATTAAAGAATATGGATATCGAGATGAATAAATCAAGATTAAGATTTTTGATCTCCTGTAGTCTAGAAACTAAGCGTCAGAACTCGAGAAATGGACAAACTTTAAAGATGACATTTTTAAGTCGGGAATCTGCCAATGAAACCATTTCGCTTCTTAAATAAGTTCTGCAGCTAAGGTTTCGCCATTAGCGTGAAGCCTTCCTCAGCCGAAGATCTAACACAAAGTTTCAGCTTCGTATACTGTTTCTTTTCTAAAGCTTATTATTTCTAGGGATTGGAGGTTTACAACAACATGACTCGTTGTGCTGAAAATATTGGAGCAAATTGTTTTGTTCCCGCTAATTCAAGTTCTCAACTGGATGCAGTTAAACAGTGTTTGTCTGACAATAAGATTATTACGTGAGTAAAAAGTGAAAAGGTTTATCTAGTAAAAAAAATGGATTTATCTCGCACAAAAAATTTCAACAAAAAGTGTACACGGTCTCTTGGAAGTCCAAATTTGTAAAATTAAAATTTTAGTATTTTTGGTGGATTTTTTTTTGGTCCGCTTTCAATTAATGATGAAATTTTGGGGGGGGGGGAATAGAATAAACATTTACATTTTTTCAAAAATAATTTAGTTTTGCGGATTTTTTACAATCTTTTTTATTTTGTTTTCACATTGTAATGTTCTTTTACCAAAAATCCGATGGAAACAAACATTTTGAACATATTGTGCATAACATCCTGTTTTTCACTCAACCTGAGACGGAATTTAAAGAATTTGAGCCGCGGTTTAAATCCGCCAAAACCCGGTTTAAATTAAGCGCCGGCTTAAATCTTGAAACATTTGATACAATTTTAAGTGGAACCAACCATATTTAAACCGCGGCTTAAATTTAAACCGCCGCTCAAATTCTTTAAATTCGGCCACCGGTTCCTTAACTTGTCTTGCTCTCACTAATCCAACTGTATGGGAAGGTTTGAAAACTTATAGACATTAATACCTTGATATTATAGGGATGAATACACTAAATGTATAAATTCTGGGAATGTATGTGAGTGTATCGGTGGTCTCAACCAAAACTACAGTAACATCATAAAGGACTGCAATTCACTCTGTAAGTAATACTATCCTAAGTAATTCTCCGTTTAAAAGAAAGATGCTCAGGCTCAATTCACAACGAAACCCTTAAAACCATTACTCTGATCATGAATGAGGAAGATAACGTGTTGGAAAGTGCTTCTTTTATGATAATTGCTTCATTGTTTCTAAAGCAAGAAATACGCAAGACACTTTTGCCAAGAAACTGCGAATGAAAATCAACGGTTTTTAAAAACATAAACTTATACTTGACCAGACAATGCTTATGTGGTATACAGTTGGGAAACCAACTCTTTCAATAAAGTCTCATCTGAGCTGAAAACTTTAATCCTGACTTCTTGATCCGAATATTCACTGTGTAAACTTTTCATTTTAGTCCTTAATCCACTCTTTTTCTCTCTCCTTGGATATCCGTTAATTGTCTCCTCCAATGAGAATATTTCTGTTTTCTTATTGGTTGCCCGCTTTTCTCTAATTGGCTGCTACAGTTTCTCAGATGATTAAATATTAATTTGAATTTTATCGTTTTTCATACAATTTTAGATAATCTTGCAAGATTATGTTAATCTGCAGATTAAGAAAAAGAGTGGATTAAGCCTTAATCCCAATATCCACCATTCAAAAGTTCCCAGCTCTGGAACTACTAGTCTGCTGTCCATTTTAGAACGAAAATACAACATATTTTTATTCACTATAATTGAAAAACGAAAAAGTTTATGAGGGAGGTTTAAAAAAATCTTTTATTCTTTCAGCCTTAGCGGTAGAGCCTGAGGTTAAAAAACAAAATGACGAATGTAAAGTGGTTTTTGGCGAGTGCAAAAAACTGGAGGATCAAAGTATATCATATATTGCGAAATGTAAGACATCACCAAACGCACTGGTAAACACCCTCGGAGAACTGAAAACATCTGAAGATCTGATAGTAAAAGTGGATATAAAGGTCCAGCAAATGCTGAACGGAACCATTCGAAGGTAATTCTATCCCTTGTTTAGTCTGCATAGATAAAAAAATGTTCAACTAAAAATTACATTTTACAGAAGAAAGAGAGCACAATTTGTCAAAGCAACAGCAGCTGAGGCCCTAGGCAGTCTTCAAATTATTATTGATCGGGGCGAAAAAGGTATTTAGAAGGAGTAGTTGTCTGTACAGTTTGAATTATGTAATATAAAAAAAACTAGAGTATATGAATCATTGCTGTTGAAGTGTGGTTTTTCGAAGAAGATTTCAGATTTCTAGCATAAGCCAATAATGGTTACCCAACCCAGTGTGTAAAAACAAAGAGTACTTTTTCTGATCTGATGATTTATTATTTTCTCGACATCTATGAAGTGTACTTAGTTTATATCAAAATGATTTACTTAGGCAACGTATGAGAATAAAAAAATGGTCAAAATCTTAACTTAATTTGCAGCTTTTTTAATAATAACTGGAAAATATGACCTGAGATTTACAAATTATACTTTTAGAGGATGCTGACAGGATATCTAGGGATAGCCAGATATATGTGGAGGGTGCCAGGTTTCTAACCTATATAGGTTTCACTTTTAATGCAGCGGAGTTAACAACATTAAATAGTCTTGAAGCAAGACTAAGAAATGTAAGAAGGAAACTTGATAAAAGAATATCAGAAATCTTACAAATCCTTCAAACTACCTATCAAATAGCATCACCTACAGTCACATTGGGTTCAACTATAATATTTCCATCATCAACAACAACAACAACAACAACTACAACAACAACAACAACAACTACAACTACATCTACAACAACAACTACAACTGCAACTACAGCTACAAGTACAACAACAACTACTCTAACAAGCACAATAACTACTACTACTACAACTACAACAACGGTAACTACACCAACAACGGCAACCACGTCCTCGACAACAACAACAATTACAGAAACAACAACAACAACAACAACTACAACTGCAACTACAGCTACAAGTACAACAACAACTACTCTAACAAGCACAATAACTACTACTACTACAACTACAATTACAACAACAACAGTAACTACACCAACAACGGCAACCACGTCCTCGACAACAACAACAATTACAGAAACAACAACAACAACAACAACAACAACAACTACATCTACAACTACAACTACAACTACAACAATAACTACTCTAACAACCACAACTACTACAACTACTACTACAACAACAATAACGACTACAACAATAACAACTACAACAACAACGGAAACTACACCAACAACGGCAACCACATCCTCGTCAACAACAACAACAACAACAACAACAATTTTAACTAAAAATACACCTACAACTACAACTGCAACTACAACTACAACAACAGCCACCACAACAACTGCAATTTCAAATACTACTACAACTACAACCACAACTGTAACAACAACAATAACTACAAATCCAATAACAACTACAAACACAACAACAACTACAACTACAACTACAACAACAACATCTACAACTGAAAATGCGACTACAACTACAAATACGACTACAACAACAACCACTACAACAACTGCAACTTCAACAACAACTACAACGTTG